CCACCGAGAGCAGGACAAGAGTGACCCTGACATGATCATTAAGAGAAGACTCCTCAAAGTCTGAGGTTAATATGATGGTACATATTCTGAGTGAACGGGTAAAGCTATACAACGTTGGATGTGTAGATTCTGAAAAATTTTGAATATTAGAGAAGACATTGAAAATCTTTAGCATTTTCTTTGCCATTGTCAAGTATTCATCGGAATTAGATCCAAATATCTTTAGAGTGATATTATTTTGGATATAACATCTAACACAATAGTAGCGTAAGCGTATTTCTTCAGATTTGATGTAGTATACATCTTCCTACCAACCTATTCTAAACCTACCTCAATGCTAGTACATTAGATGATCTCACAAAAAGAAAAATGGTGCATGCGTATATAAGTATGTGTATTTATGATTATAAACTTCTTTAATATTGTTATTATTTTAATTAATGATTAAAGTTATAATCCATATTCTCAATCATTCATTGTTTTCATGAACGAATTAAAAATTTAGACACGCATATTCAATCACAATATTAATCCCAACTACATTGTACTCTAATCTGTAATTTTCATTTCAAATTCTAAACTATAACAAATTTATAGTTTGGCATTAGGCATGAACATTTTTGAGAATCTTAAAAATTAAGATTGTCTCCCAATTACATGTACTAGCGATTCGGAGATGAAAACAAATGTAGAATTCAGGTCTCCAAGACTACGGAGCAGTTCAGTTAATTAGTGTCCTGTATCACAGATATGTTCCTAGATCTAGATAATACTGTCTATCTTAGATTTTCAGGCAATTGTACTTTTATGTGAATTCGTTATCAGCATTATCCGAACACCAGATTAATGGCCACTCTCTATATTTTCTAGGGAATATACATTACACTTCGAAAAGAGCCTGCTTGTCCAGGATATTTCGCTCAAACCCTAAATGTTAGGACAATATCCTTTTAAGAGGGCTTACGTCTAAAGAACCCAATAAAACACAACCATAGAAAATATATTTATTGGGCTTGATCTAATGTTTATATGTATACTATCACCTATACATTTAACTTATTTTTATTTTATCCTCAAATCAAATTAAGTGGAAAGAAGAACAAAGTATGACCCTGACTAAAAGACAAGAAGGTTTTCAACCCACTAGCATTGGCTGAAACTTGTTTTGAATTAAAAAAAAAATAAAAGTAATAATGAATAAATTGATATCTAGTTAATGTATTTAAATTTTATAATCTTAATATATAAATAATAAGCCGTCAAATATGAAGAGAGCAATAAGCAGTTGTCAACTTGATCAATTAAAACTAGTTCGTTTTTAATATGAAAATCTGATTGAATGAATTAATAAAGCGGTATTGTTTTGTATTACAAAAATCAACTGGATCAACATTAAAAAAAATAAAATATAATTTTTGGATTACAATTTAACAGAACAAGTAAAATCTTATGTTCCCATCAAAGTGTATGTTTTATAATTAATTTCGGAAATTGTCCAATACATGGGCAACTCATATTCGGTCTTATTAGTATTGCACATTTTCAATCCAAAACAAACCTTACTAATAATGTGTGGTCCCTATTGCGATTTCAACAGACAGGCGGACGGACATGGCTAGATCGTCTTAGATTTTAATAAGGACCAGAATAACATTTCAAAAATTTTACATAAGATTCAAACAACTATTTAAGATGAAAATATATATTCAATCATATTCAACCCAGTAGAAAGGTATTATACGTTTATGCTGAAGTTTGTTATACCCAAAAATAATGGTTCTACTTTAAAGTATCACTCTCTGAGTTGCTTATGGTATGTCAGTCTGGCTTTCCATAAGTACTTATAAACATATGCGTACGCTACAGGACGCAATTTTCAGTATAATTTGACAAAATTTGGCACATTTTCTTCTATAAAGGACAAGGCCTATTGAAAATAGTTGAAATCGGTCCATTATTTCACCAAGCCCCCTTACAACCGTACACCCCGAACAAGGCCTTTGAGGTCATAAGTACGTATGTGAAATATGCTAATATCTCTAATGATTTTCGTAATATCCCTATTCGAACCTAGCCCCAAAACAAGCAATAATTTACTTAAAAACACTAGCATCACTAAATGAATCCTCTTAATCACTGGTGGACATTCTTAATACATTCAGTCGGAGAATCCAAATATTTTTGTGGACTTTTCGTTTAACTCAGTACATCAGAATCAATGTAAAAGTAGAGTTTTTTGTTATTTGCGGTGAACGGAGAAAATTTCGATTGATTTATATTTCCTGAATCGTGTTCCATTATGGCTTCTATAAGGACCCGAGAATTAAATCCTGAGCCGTCGACCACTAATCAATTCTCTACTTCAACTAAATAATGCCGAAATTGCATTCAGTGCCTATACCAACTCAAACGATACTTTGTCAAGTTAAAATGGGTTCCAAAGCATGGAAAATTACCAACAAATGCGAAATTTATAGATGTCAAATCTAATTTGCTATAAGTACCAATTGGTTTAAACATTAAAAAATTGCTTTAAACTCTTCAGTTTTTCTGGATGTCGAATAAACAGAAGTCTTTTTAAGCGTATTTAAAATTTAACTTACAACATAGTAAGGAGCGATTACTTTTGTACGAAGACGTTCCACTCCTGAAAACCTTATTAGATATCTTGGGCACTATTATTTTGGAGCTTTGTAATGCCCATAGATAATAATAATATTATGCTACCAAAATTTTAAGGTTATCAAGTATTGATATACAACCCGTTTGATATTACTACCGGACTTCCTAAAGTATATTAGGCTAAAGGCAATTTTTTTATATAAATATCGCCACAAACACTAATAAATAAACAATTTTCAGTTTTTAACACATGTAAAGAAAAAGATTCGCAAGGCTTTGGTGGTGATACAACCAGCAGTACTGAATAATTCGAATAGCTTGGCAAGAAATACGAATGAAACCGGGATAATCAAAAAGGAAATCATGTCAGTGGCCACTAAAGAGGAACCAGAGAAACAAAGTATTTACTGGTTATGGAAAAGATATTAAAGGTAGGTTAGGTTGCTAGGAGGATATATCCCAGCAAAAACTGGGTAATAGCTTTCAATTGTAATTACTTACCTAACAATATACTTTTCAATGACTACTACATATCGTCTGGATTACATAGAAGTAGTCTAATAAGGTCTTACTAATAATGTATTATATAAATACTTTCTAAATCATTAGTCATCTTGCCAGTGAAGATATAGAAGCTGTATACGTTTTTTCAGGCGATTTTCAATGACTACTTTTTCAAATTACTTGTAATCGTTAGTGGTAAATACTTGCCTCCAATGACATCACCGTGTTAAAATAATGACTTAAAATGCTATTGTGTAAGTAAATTTTGGCATTTTAACCGCTTACATGGTAATGAAAGTTTTTACTGGGATACTACATCAAATCGGAAGAAATACACCTAGGCTACTATCGGGCCTGTTCATAAAAAAATGTTAACTGATTGAATTATTTTTCAGTGTTCAGAAACCCAGTTTTCTGGAAGTAATTCCTAAGAATCTTACCAATCAGTGTTAGTCAGAAATGTTATTTCCGGAATAACATCACTTCCAAGATACTTGGATCTAACTTCGACGAATGCCAGACAGCATGTGTCCTCTCCACATGCTCTACTTTCGTCTGAATCCGCACGTCCAATTTTGCACAGATATGCTCGTAATCCTGTGTGTCCACTCAAAATACGTACCATCATACTAACTTCAGACTTGCTCATTTTGGGGAGATTTCTCGTCTTGTTCTCATCAGGGTCACCCCATAGAATCATTGTGGTTTACCCACCATTTCATTATTCCAAGAGGCCTTATGGGATTCTCTCACCCATATTTTTAATTCTGCTTTTGTTGCGTCTAATGGTTTTGTGTTTGTCAAGTTAACTGCCTCGAGCTCCCTTCCCTTTAAAGCTTTTACATTAACCCTTTCGTTGCCAACTACTCACGAGTGGCCTGGTACCCATATGATTTAAACCTTACCTCTGGGAGGGTATTCAGGTAAAGCTGCAATTGGTAAATATATTAAGGGCTGTGGGCGCCATATTTATTCTAATCCAATTTACGCATTCCGTTATTGCTCTGACTTCTGCCAGGATGCTTGTGTTATGATTAAGCAAACGGTGGTATATTTCTGTTTCTGGATCTTCAATATAGAACCCCAGTCCCCCTTTGTCCCCCAATTTAGAGCCATACGTGTAACAACGGATTCTACTGGTATTTGCTTTAATGTTCCGCTTGGCCAAGACATTCTATCTGGGATCAGCGTTTCAAAGTTTCCCACATATTCTGTGTCTGGTATGCGATCAGGCCGTCCGATGATTGTGTATAACCTTCCCATGTATCCAGTATACATTGATAACGTGTCCTATAACCGCTTTTGGGCAGTTCGCCTAAAGTAAAGAGCCGTTCGGCTGTAAGCGCCGCCTCATATCTAATATATTAAATCTATGCTAGGTCTCGTTACGAATCCTATTTACATTGTCAATTGTCTATATAAATTAAATACTAAAATTGATATATTCTTCAACTTTTGCACAATTGGTGAAAGCAAGAATGGTCATAATGATATCCTGATCGTACTAATCGTATGTATAGGGCCAATTTCTAAAAAATACTTAAAATTTGATGATTTTGGCATAACTGAACTTTTTTTGCCCTATACTATAAACTTTCATACATATATGTATAACTACAGGTTCAATACTATTACATATTATTTTTCTGCATACAAAAGAAATACACTTTTAATTAGAACATAAGAACTTAATTTCATTTTAAACCTAGTTACCCATAAAAATTGACAACAAAAAATCAGGCTTATTGGCATAAATATTAAATGCTGAATGTGTATATACGGTCATTAAACCAAATTTACCAATAACTTGTTGATCATACAAAAATTAAAAATACACATTTCTCAACTTTTTCTTTTAATTTTTTTTTTTTTGCAAACTTTTCTTAATTGGTTTTTATTTTTAAGACTGGGAAACATTTAAATATAACTGAATGTATGAACTTATATTAAGTTAGTTTTAGACTACGGCCTGAACACTATGCATCACTACTTGTTGGCCTAATGGCAGGACGAAAAGCCTTACGCAGACGGGATCGTAAAAGTTCACGTCTTAAAATATTGCCTTCTCTTTCAGCGGTTTCCATTAACTGAAATAAGTAATAGATAAAAAAAAATATTCAAAATTATTATTATTTTTTAAATAGTTACTTACACTTTCTGTTAAAGCTGCTCTTTCTATTGTTGCTGGATCCATATCACCAACTATGGAGTCAGCTAAAGACGAGGCATTTGAATCGGTATTGTATGTGGCGGCCTCACTTTGTCTTAATTCGGCCGCTTCGTCATAGTTGTCTTTTACTGTTTCTCTTTCTTCTGTTTGTATATATTCCATGGGATGGTTACTGTTAATGACTCTTCTCAGTTTCTGTTTATCTTTTTTGTATGACTCCAACTCGCTTCGCAAACGTTGATTTTCCACTTCAAGAAAATCCACCTTTATGAACAAAAATATCGACATAAAGCAGAGCAAAACATATCATAAACTTGCAGTTGTTGTCTTTGAATAAATAAGTCTTTTTGTGGTTTCCACAACTTACACTTTCCAATTCAAATTCAAGTTCATCGATTATATCGTATGCCTCATCCAAGGCTGTTTGCAATTTTGCCACCTGGGCCTCTAAACTGTCAATAGTATGTTTCTCGTTGTTTTTAGAGTTATGTCTTTCTAGGGCAAGTTCTTGTTCTAAAGGGAAAGTTGTTAAAAGTTATTAGATAAATATGTTTTAAAGAAATGAACCGGGATTATTTGTCAAAATAAAATCTTATGTTGTCAAAATAAATCTATTTTGCAATACAGTTATTAGTTGTCAATCTATCAACAACAAATATTTGCAATAGATTAAATACAAATTTGTTGTTTACTACAAAATATTATGATAAATAGAGGTTATTGATAAACAAAATTCTATATTTTACCTTTTTGTCTTTGATCTATAGATGATTTCATGACCAGACCATTAAGAGTCTTCTGACGATTGAAGACATCTTCATAAGCTTTACAACGTTTAACCTTTTGCAAATAAGCTTCATGCAGTTGATTATATTTACGCTTTATCTTCTCCAATTTCTCATACATACGATCACGTTCCTCCTCAAATCTGAATGCTTTCAATTTGGCCTCAATGTGTACCGAAGAATTGGTATGTTCCTCTTCGGTTAAACTTTGCAACTGTTTACGCAATGAAGCATTCTCTTGACTCAAACGAACATTTTGGGCATTTGCTAAATAAGAAAAATAACAACAGAATAATATCTTTGTAAATTCAAGTTTTCCATACCTGCATCCAACTGAGCCTTTAGAAAGTCCGTGTTTGATGTTCTGTTCATGATTTTTTCTGTCTAGATTACTATAAATCTGGGTTTCTTTCTAAATATTATTGTTTTTAAATGAATGTGTTCAATAGTGGTATCGATTGGCAAATAGTTAAATTTGTATTTATCAAATAATAATGAACCTATAAACTCATATTGTGGAGTATTATCAATTTGTTATTTTGATAAGAATTTGAGGGTAAACAAAATTTGTATTGTATGCGAAAACAACTCAAAATGAATCACAGGTGTAGTGAGTTCTTTCTCACCACTGCATTTTATTTAGCAAATATCCAAACCATGTTGGTGTGGTGAATAAGAAATTTATAAGAAATACAGTGTAGTTAACAGTGTTGCCAGAAAATCGTACCCAATTTTAAGCTAAGTCCACAAGAAATAAATACCCATTTTATTGCAAAACCAATAAAAACATGTAGAAAAGTGGAGTCGATCATCGAATAAAATAAGGCCGTCAAGACAGGTGTTCAAGCACTTCGACATCTTTACCTTGAGGCTTTAACTGAATGCTCTCCCAGAGGTAAGTTTTACATCATATGGGTACCAGGCCATTCGGGAGTAGTCGACAACGAAAGGGCGAATGCAATAGGTTTAAAGGGATTGGAGCTCGAGGTAGTTAACCTGACAAACGCAAAACCATTCGACGCAGCAAAAGTTGAATTAAAAATATGGATGAGAGAATCCCATAAGACGTCTTGGAATAATGAAACGGTGGGTAGAACCACAGTGATCCTTTGGGGTGACCCTGATGAGAACAAGACGAGAAATCTCCTCAAAATGAGCAAGTCTGAAGTTAGTATGATGGTACGTATTCTGAGTGTATACACAGGATTAAGAGCACATCTATACAAAATTAGCCGTGCGGATTCAAACGAATGTAGAGCATGTGGATAGGACAGTGAAACTCTGGAGCACTTTCTTTGCCACTGTCAGACATTCGTCAAAGTTAGATCCAAGTATGTATCTTGGAAGAGATGTTATTTCTGATTGGAAAATTCTTGGGAATTACGTCCAGGAAACTGAGTTTCTGAACATTGAAAAATAATATACTCAGTGAGCAAATTATTTATTTTTATTTTTTTTTTCGTAAAAAGGAGAGCACAACAAGCCCGATAGTGACCTAGGTGTATTTCTTCGGAATTGATGTACTATACATCCTCCTATCAACGTAACCTAACCAAAAATAGGCTTTATACGTCAAATATGGACCGGCAGTATTATTTGGTTTATATAAAATTTAGTTGAGCAGATGTCAGAAGAGATATTACGCTAAAAAGCGCAAATTGAATGATCCGTTTGCATGGGGGATAGGTGAAATAATGGACCGATTTCAAATAGGTTCAGTCCTAACACTTTTGGTCAAAATTTCATCAAAATATCTTGAATATTGCGGTTTGTACTTTGCAAGCATACCACAATCGATTCAGAAACTGTTTTAACTGATGAGCGTTAAAGTAATTTTCTGATGAGAACGCATACGTACGAGGGTCTTCCGAGGGCTTGGCAAATAAGCTAAACCATTGTTAAAAGTTCTCGAATAGGGGTTTAGTTAGCTTCGCAATACTTTCACAGCTTAAAACGTTAAGATATTCACCATAATTATGGAATTATTAAATTTTTTTTTATCGAATTTCATGTTCTGTCGCGACGCTTAGGATCGATAGATTCGATAGATTTAGCCCGGTAGTTCTATCACTTACCTAAATTTGCGCCTGATCAGTCTGAAAACAAGGCATAAATGTATTCAAATAGGTAAATTGTTCGGAGCACCGCTTCATCGATCAAGTTTATCTTCTGATGAACACGGTGCCAATATCTGACATCGAATTATTTTTGGGATCACACCGCTACGATCTTGGACAATATATGGTTTTAACAGCATGAGACATTTTGTGTGGCATATTCCTAGAACACAATGTGTCTAGAGTTTCTTTGACTAATGTATTTTCATTTTTAAAACTTTTGTGTTGTTTCTAGATAACGAGCGAGTAGTTTGAGCACAAATTTTACTTGTATTTTGTTATTGTAACAAAAACAAAATACAAGTAAAATTTTAACTCAAACTACTCACACGTTATCTAGAAACAACACATTTAAATTTTAATTTAAACTACGGAGCCCAATTTACACTCAAACAATAAGTCTGATCACTAAACCGGATCAAATCTTTGAGGAAATCTCCCAAGCTAATGAGACCTTTAATGTAAAAATAGAGAAAAGAACGAAATGAGATTGAGGGTTACAAGAGCTCTCGTCGGTATATTAGGTCTTTAACTAAAAGGAGAAGCTCTTGGTGCACAGCCTGCTTTTCCCATTCGAGGATTATGGGTAGTTATGTGAAAACGCAGGAGTTTGAGGATAAGCGACATTTGGAATCAGTATCTGATTTAAATATACTTTCTTAGAATAGACTACAGTTATCCTGAAGATAAAATTATTAACGACATATGGCAGCTTTGGCAGGAGTTGATCCTTCGGACACTAAATAGTTGCTGAATTATATGATGCTAAATTGGTAAAAGACGTTGTTGCTGTTGTAACAGCTAAAACTATACAATAAACTAGTTGGGGGGTTCTACATCAATGTCCCGGCCTAAAAATAGGCCTACCTCAACTGGATGCGTCCATAAATCCATTCAACGGAGTGAAGTAGGGTTGGCTGGGCAGTTGAATATGTGGTGGGTGTCATGAGGACCCTGACCACATGCAAGACATTCGTTGGGGACGGCACGGTAAGCATTGAGCCTGTTGCTCCATTCCGATCTTAGTTGTGCCAGAACTACTCTTGTTTTCCGCAGCAGGTTTCCTTCCGTGTCTGCTATGGGCGGTGGGCGACTTCCAAGTACGTAGTGGAATTAAAGAGGCTATCAAATGTGACCCACAAGATTTTTTCTTCACGCGCAGATAACCATTTCTTTATGGTCTGAGAATTGAACAGATGTAATTAGTGAACGATCGGGAAAGACTCCTCTGCCCGACAGGAGACTAGTACTGATTTAGTAGGCCTTTTACTTCAGGGAAGTTCTCGGTGCTGTTACTATCTCAACAGGATTCATATTGTTTCATGCTACGCGACTTATGGTTGAGGTAAGTTCCCTCAACTTGTCGGGGCAATTATTGGGTACAAATTGACTTTGGAAATTTTTACATCCTTTGTCACATTATCTGACATACAGAGGGATTATGATTTATCAGGGTCATTAGTTGATGGGGATTGCATTTTAAATAATGCAATCTTGCATGACATCATAAGGGTGGTCACCTTCCGGTATACTGGAAGATTGATTTCACCTGATGTTGGGGTTTGTCGCCCCATCTATTGAATTTAGACCAGTGATTGCTTCTTCCTTGTCGGGGTTTGCATTGGGATTGATCCCATGCGGCCTGTCATTTTACAACGGGGCTACTATGGCAAGAGATTAGATAGCTCGAGTTCTTCAGCAAAGTGCTTGTACATGGACCGGCTCAGCCATGTACAAAAATTGCCACCTGAATTCTTCATAGCGTCTTTCCCAGGATTTAAAATGGGAATGACTCTACCCTTTTTCCAGGCATCGGGTATTACGAGGATACTCTCTGACTTCTCGAAAACCATAGTCAGGTTCGCCAAGGTAAAAGGCGTCAAGGTCGTTATATGTTGCAACATGGACCATAGCAAGTATACAAGTCGATCCTATAAACCATTTATAAATAACAAATAAAACAACCATTAATTTTTGGCTAATATTTTGCTTAAAATAATTTATTTATTTATTTTCATTTTAATAATTTATATAAATTAGTTTTAATTAAGGCATAATTTTCAACTAATTACAAAATATTCATATTGTGTAAAATTTAAATTCTCTCTTCATTTAAAAAAATTTAAAATTTCTTATACATTTTATTTATAATCTTCATTTTTAAAATTGATTTATCTTTTGTTGATGTTGTTGTTGTTTTCGAATAATTTTGGACAAAACAAATAAAATAAATTTACAGACGATTGATTCAGAGACATTATATCATATCGTTATAAATCAGGTTGATATAGAATTGTATTATTTGTTTGCTTATTTTTTAAAAATGTTTTTTTGTTTTTTATTAAAATCAGTTTATTTATTTATTTAGATTACTAAATATTATATGTATGTATGTAGGTAGTATTATTAATTTATGTAATTATTTGTTTTTTTTACTACTGGTTAAACTGATTTTACTCAGATATCTGTTCACAGCACTTTATTTCATTGACAATTGTTATTAATTATTCATGTTTGCAATTATAATTTATTAATTTTCTTTAATTCTGTTATTTGTTTGTTATTTAATTGATAATTCCAATAACTTGTGAAAGTTTAAATTAAAATTTAAAGGTTTTCAAACTTTTCCTTTGTATGTGTATATTGTAGAGCGTTTTTCCTTATATGATTTCCTATATCATTGGAAATGAATCATTTGTGTTATTATTTTATCATTTACTACTTATTGAAAGTAGTTAAATATTTAATTTTGTATTATTATTATTAATGTTTCACTTATACATACATTTACTCTTTCCTATAAATAATGGGTGTAAAATTATGTTTAAATTTAATTTACTAAATATTTAAATAGTTGTATGATTTGAATTTCAATCTTGTTTTATCATTTACTTTCTTTCTAAGATAAAATTTAAGAATTTTGTTTATATTTGTTTTTTGTATTACCAGAATAATATAATTTGCTTCAGTTTCATTCATATCACACACATTCAGACAGTATCCATCTACTTAAAAACTAAAAAATATATAACTAATTGTTATAATAATTATTTTATTATAATTCTGTTTTATATTTCATAATAATAATAATAATTGCTAGACTTAATTATTGTGAATTTAATTATTTTATAATTATTGTTTTTGCTACACATTCTCTAATTACGCGATCACTCGCCGTTTTTCATACATATTCCAAGTTGTATGTGTCGATTGCTAGTTTTGACTTTGTCGTCATCATTTAATATTTTCAGCCAAAGAAATTTCAAAAAAAAAAAATGTTTTGTTAAAGAAAAAAGGAAGTAGAATCATTTAAAATTAAGTACAAATCAATAGAACAGGTTGTTGCTAAGAGTGGTCAAAAGCGAAATACATAGGAAGAAATAGGATCGAGATATTTAGCTAGAGGCCAAAGTATACTTTTCTAAAGTATCGAGCTGAGCAAGATTCGAATAAATAAAGTTGTCTTGGCGTTGTTATAACGTCTCAAAAAGGGTCAAAAATAACATTTTTTCAAACTTCAGGACACGATATCTTAAATCCCAGATCCCTGCAAAAAAAAAGTAGAATTTACTCCATAGAAGTGCTGAAAAAGACTTTAGGAAGTAATGATTTTAACTCAGGCTTATCATAGGAGGGATGACCTTTTTATTTGAATCCAAATTCACTATTTCTGAAGTCATTCTCAAGAAGTAATTTTTATGTTCTTTTATTCTGAAGTGAAATTGAAGTATTATAGATTTATTTTCGCTTCTTGGGAAGTCATTAAACATCACCTCCACAGAAAGTAAAAAAAATCACTTAGTGCTACTTTTGAAGTGGTGATAACTGTTATTCTTTTGGAAGTAATTCGTTTTATTTTTGCTGGAATGTGATGGAGAAAATCTCCAATTATACCAACTAATTTCCTTAAATTAAGCAAAGTTTTAATCTCCTTGAAAAACATCGCCTACAATAACTAGTTCTAGAACGAGTGCAAATAGAACTACTTCTGATTCTTGTACAGCAATCTTAGAACTAATGATGTCGTCGCTACAATTTCTAGAACCTGTTCTGTGTAATATAACGTGTTTCTAAACTACTCCTACTTGTTCAAATTGAACCTTACTGTCTGACACAATTCAATGGGTCAAACAAGTCCAATTGTTAAACAGGTAATATCTGTATTTACTGAACACTGTGTCATTGTCATGCATGACAGAACCAAGGTTCCACTTACACTGTTATTGCCAGGCATTCCTTTCAGGCATAGATGAACTAAATATCTAAGCATAAACCTTAAACTTCGTCATAGAAGCACCGAGTACTAGTTTATAACAACATAAATGGACCTAAGGGAGCTGCTCGAAGAGTGGCTGCCATACGAACCTAATCTAAAGTACTTCTAAGAGTGTTTTCGAAAAGCCAGATCTGTGGGAATTATAAAATACTGGTTCTTCTTTAGTTCAATGGAATATGCACTCGTTCCGAAACAACTTCTTGCCACAGATTGAAAAAACAATGTTAAACATTAAATCAGAAAAAAGTTTTAAATTTTGGCCGCTTTTAAGAAGTTGTATTAGTTCTTTTAAAGCTACCTAAAACCAGCTCTGAGGGTGCCAATCTGAAACAGCTCGAAATGATCAATCAAAATACTGGTTTTGGAAGCGTTTTATATAACGAATGTTGACATTAACCAAAGCAGTTAAATGTACAAGTTATTGAAGTTTTGCATACCAAACGATATCAAAATTTCGGAAGATATTAAAAAGGAACTACTAGATTTGAAATCCAAAAACAAATTCGTTTATTTTAATAAAAAATTTTGAATCTATTAAGAATTCTAATCCATATATTAATGTATTCTAAAAACTATATTTAAATAAAAAAATTTTACCACTCTGCGAAAAAAAAACTAAACCAACAAAAAGAAAATCCCTCCTGTTTTAAGCAAATTATTAAGTGGGAATGTATTGCACATTGGAAAATAAGAAAGAAAAAATTAAAAAAAACTTAAACGAATAATAAAAATCTTCTTTAAATATTAACAATTTCTTGTTGCTGCTCGACAACCTCATCATCGTCGTCATCATCATCGTTTTCGTTGTTATCATTGTCTATAAGACCACTGCGATCGTCATCTATTTGGATTTTCTGATGAGAAGAGTTGCGAGAATGTTTTTTATTGGCATTGTTACTCAGGGCACCCGAGCCCACGGCTACAACACCGGTAGCTATTGGATGATCACTGGTGCTGGCGTTAGCTACGTGATTTAAGTCTTTAGAATTTGTACGGCGATGTCTTAATATGCTTAAAGCCGATTCAGCTATTAAAGCGCTACTAGCGGCTGCCGACGAATTGGCGACTCCGGCATTAGTAGTAGTTTGTGAAACCTTTATATTCAAGTCCTTTGAATTGTTGCGTGAATGGCCGCGTGAGCCAGCTTCGTTAGTCTCGTTTGAATTTTTCAATTTACTCTCCACCACATTTTTGAGCAAATTAACATTTTTCTTATTGTTAGTGTGATGGAGATGATTATTGTGGTGGTGATTATTATGACCACGGAAGAATTCTGGATCGAATCGTATGTTATTGGGCATATAGATTTGATCATATGAATGATTGCGTGAATGTTTGCGCACGAAATGACCACAGCCAGTGGTCAATTCATCTTCGTCCTCTTCGTCTTCTTGGGGCTTAAGTTGATTTTGTATGAAACGTATGCTGAAATTGGGATCATCTCTGGAACAGGAATTGGAGTGAGCCACCAATTTGTGGCGGAATTCTGTATTAAGGTCACTTGAATTGTTGCGGGAATGTGTATGAAGTTTTTTCAAATTCTTGAATTTAGAAGTCTCACAAACATCCATAGCTGGATTCGTATTATGATCCTTGGCAAAGCTGCGTATCATTTTCACATCACACGAAGCACTGCGGAAATGTTTTTTCGATTTCATTTGAGGAACTGCTTGGGTATTTGCCATCATGGCATTGTTGCATTTATCGTAGCTGTGGTATTAAAAATGTCTATTTTAGTACTGGACTATGTATGAATTATTCAGTTGACAAAACTTACCCATATTCAAGTTGTATTGTTCGGGAATTATTACGAGAATGACGATAGTTTTCCGATTTTAAAGCCAACTCACCATCATCGTAATTTGGATTGTTGTCATGGCCGGACAACTTTTCTTCAAAAACTACTAAAATATATGAAATTGAAACACCAAAATTTCGAAATTCTCTGTATTTAGAATCAAACAGAATACTCACGTTTGTCTAAACTTATTATGGAACCTATTACAGGATCACCTGCATTCAATGGCTTCATTTTATCTAATTGCTTACGTCGTCTAACCAACCACCAATCTACCATAAATATAGCCAAAGCTATAATTTTCACAGAAGCACAAAGTCCCACGTATCTGAAATTAAAAGACAAAATTCTTATCATCTATTCTCTCTGGACGCTCAGATGCCAAATAAACTTACTTGTAACGAAACTTTTCAATGTCGTAAATTAAGCAACGACCACCTTTCTGGCCGCACGATGATTTCCACAATAAACAAGTGGAATCGATGAGATTACCGAAAAGTATGGGTGCTGGTATATAACCAAATAGACGGAATATAACAAATTGCATGCCCAAGGCGAATGAACGCTCTTCTTCGGATACCGAACGTAGGACAATCATAAGCAGAGGCATTTGAGTGGCAGCCACAATAAAGGTCATGAAGAAGAGCAATATAAGGAATGGATAGATATTGCGGCAGGGATTGGCACAAGGACCGGCAGTGGCAACAGGAACTACAGTAACTTCATCGAAATTTTCATTGGCATTAAGGGCTTGAGCCTGACTACCTCCGGCACCCAAATAAATGCTGCTGGAGATATTAGCATGAACACCTTTAAAAGAAACGTGTACAAAGTAAAATAGGAAACATTTTTTTACTTCAATAACTGAAATACTTACAGGCACAATTTGTATAATTTGAGCTAGAAGAGAAAGCCGTACATCCCGCATGACAGGGACTGAAATAAGTGAGACCATTATTTCCACACACCGGTTCCACATCACTGGTCAAACACTCGCAACCAAAATTACAAGCAGCCGTCAAATTTACTTGGAATGGTTCTAGTGATCCCGGTTTAGAACTATTATAATACGGCATAGTAGTGCCGGCCATTTTCAAATTGTCACAGCCCAAAAAGAACAGCATGGCAAAGAGACACAAACAGATAACATTCGAGATGAGTACAAATGTCACTGCTCCCTTGGGTTTCAATTGAAAACGTTTAAGTATACAGCCGCCCACAAAGATACCAATACAGGCACCCGGTATAGCAATGGATCCTGTAAAAACACTAGCCTGACTTTTGCCCAAACTAAATTGGGTTTCCAAATATTTCGGCAAGAATACCACAAAACCGGAGACAATCATTAGTTCCATGCAGGCACCCAGACAAGTGACAATGTAAATGGGATTTGTTACGAGACGCAGCATAGATTGTGGTATGTCTGCAATTAATATTACAAAGTTAATAAATGTATTTATTGTGCTACTAAGTAGTTAGATTTCCTACCTTTAATATCTTTTCCATAGCCAGTATCTACTTTGGGTTTCTCTGGTTCCTCTTTAGTGGCCACCGAAACGATTTCCTTTTTAATTTTCCCAGTTTCATCAGTGTTGCGCGGCAAGCTATTTGAATTATTCGGTACTGCTGGTTGTATTACCACAGAAGCTTTGCGTATCTTTTTCTTCTCATGTGTTAAGACCTGTAAATTTGTTTGTTGATTAGTGGTTGAATTCTTTAGTCTTATATACATTAGAAAGTCCCTAAGGAATATCAATTGCAATACTGAATCCGAAAAACCTCAAAATTTTGTTAGTTTAACTTTCATTATTATTATTCAGCCTCCAGAAAAGCTGAAGTGTTTAACGCAATGTTTTCGAATACCTGGTTCACATATTTATTTGTGAAACATGACGAACATCAGAAGATCAGTCTCTTAAGAATACTGAGATTCCCGAGAGAATTTATAACAAATTAGATTCATTGGTTACACCTCTTTCACATAATTCAGATCAGAAAAAGGCTTTATAATAGAATATCTTAGTCTGTGCTTATGTAGAGCGTTGCAATGACATAGCATATGTCAGAAGTAACTAATACGTCGGTAGCACATACGATTTGAAATCGATCCAATCACAAATTTCCTACTATTATTATTCAGCCTCCAGAAAAGCTGAAGTGTTTAACGCAATGTTTTCGAATACCTGGTTCACATATTTATTTGTGAAACATGACGAACATCAGAAGATCAGTCTCTTAAGAATACTGAGATTCCCGAGAGAATTTATAACAAATTAGATTCATTGGTTACACCTCTTTCACATAATTCAGATCAGAAAAAGGCTTTATAATAGAATATCTTAGTCTGTGCTTATGTAGAGCGTTGCAATGACATAGCATATGTCAGAAGTAACTAATACGTCGGTAGCACATACGATTTGAAATCGATCCAATCACAAATTTCCTACTAAGTGTGTCTATAAGAAGAATATAAACTTTCACCTAAAAATATCCGTAATTTGGCCATTTGGAAGTATCGTCTGAGTTGTGACAGGAAGAGGAGATCTTCCTGCCTTATTAAGTTGGAGTAGAGAGTTGAGCAATGATCGATGTCTGGAGATATATTTCTCGGATCCTACTCGGTGCCATAATGGCAGCATACAATACAGACCGTAAAACAAATCAGGAAATCTGATCGGAAACAATCACTCATATTTTGCATTTCAATTTGAATATAAAATTTTCTCCGATAACTTAGATATTCCGTATTTCGTCACTAAAATTATAAACACGTAACTAAGATCATAATGCAGAATACCTACAATGGTGAACAATTGAAACGATATAAAATTGCTTTTTCTTATGATTCCGTTTTTTGTTAGAATACCTTTTTCGATAGTTGCGTAATCGAAATGCAGAATTGGGGTGAATAATTCAAATTCATCCAGCTATTACCCATAACAGGTATTATAGATCACGCCCTGTTTAAATTTGTAAGATTCTGACATTACCAATGCAATCATATTTCAACACTCTTGACTCTCTGAATCTGGAAGCCGATTTGGCAGAAAATAGATAAACGGCTCCTCTTGATAATAGACGACTACCGCAAACGTTTAACGGACCACGATTTGATTATCTGCACTTGGAATGTGCAGACTCTGTATAGAGAAGGTGCAGCTCTAGCACTGATAGATGCCCTAGATCAGTATAAATGCAATATTACTGCCATACAGGAAATGCGCTCGACTGGTACCTTTAGAACACCTAATGGTGTCAAAACTTTCCGCAGCTAATACGACACAAAGCACGAAGAGAATGAAACACTTTGTCTCTGGGTTAACTCCAGTGGACGAATGGCTAGCTTCTATTCTATATTACGAGCACCTTGAGCGGACATATCTTTGCCTTTCCCATGATATTAAGATAATCTTGGGAGACTTTAATGCTAAAATATGTAAGTATGGAGGGTATCTTTAGCCCTACAGTCGGTAAATTCAGCCTCCTCTGGAAAACAACGGTATGAGACTGCGGCAAGGAACATGATTATCAGCAGAAAGAGATTTCAACACATTTATATCCATAAGACAACGTGGACATCCCCAGATCAATTCACTAGGAATCAGACGGACCATATTATATAATAATGGAAGGCACTTATCCGAGGGACCACAATCTTGTCATGGCTAAGTTACGCACTCTATTAAGCAAAGTGTCAAGCGCGAACTGAGAAGGCAACCGCAGGCAATTGATACAAAGCACTCCTTGTCCCAGTGATAATGGCGCACAATGGGAACATATTGCCCACTCTCCCAATAACCAATGGTATCACCAAGAATTCCGTAATAAGACTAGGGAAAAGAACGAAGCTTACATAGCTTTACAGCGATCCCAGGAGAAAAAAACGGAAGAAGAGCACCTATTCCGGCGCAAAAAGAATGAGATGGAAAGAGGAAATTGAAATTAATGTGACAATGAGAGAGCGATAAGAATATCCTTCGAATATGTCCCAGGGGGAAAACTCAGAAGAGGACGGCCAAATCTCCCATGGAAAGATCAATTAGATCAGCATCTGTCCAAGCTTGGTAAATTGGAGAAGAAGTGCTGAAGATTGAAGCGAATGAAATGTAAATGCAATTGTAATATTTGCTAATAAAGAGAGATAAGTATGTATTAAAGGATTTAATACATGCATACATAAAGGATTTAATATTGCAAAAAAACTACGTTTAGACCTCTACAAATATTTCAACGATTAATAACGTCGATTATGAAAACTTTAAAATTTTCTTTACAGTTTTTAATTTAATTCCAAGAAGATGTAAACATACTTTAGTTTTAATTGACTGCAGCTTAATTAGAATAATCGTTAAGGCAAGTGGGTTCATGTAAAATAACGATTAAAGAAAACATGTTATAGATTTACTTTGTACTTACCTTGGGAAATGAGAAGAAGGGTATTGCAACAATTAGTAGCAAAACACCACATAACAGAAAACCACCCCACCACATGCCAACCCAACGACGATCTCCGGGATCTAAAATACAAAAAGAAAAAACAAGAATTATAAATAAAAAACATGGACATTTTTATTACAAATTATTGGTTATACTACGCGAACGTGTCAACACGTCCATTTCATCTTACCAATGGAAATTATAGATGAGGAAAGCGAATCCATGTGAAACGATAATAAATATGCACCTAATAGAAAACCAACAACAGGACCAAAAGCCGCCATACTGTACATGCAACCAATATACATGGAAGAACTTTCCGTCTTGACATGGTCATCTACATATGTCGTGCCCAGAGTAAATAAAGGACTGCCACCACAGCCCAACAACAACTGGGCAATGACAAACAGCAGTACAGGGCCAAAGGTCGATAGTTTACCTTCGAGACAATTATCTTCGCGTAGAGTGTGCGGTGCCAAGGGAGGATTTGAGAGACCACTTGATAAGCGGCCCAAATCCATATCTTGATTACGCACTAAAGCACTGCGGCATATATTGTCGCTGGTTTCATTAGCAATGGAAACACCCGGATTGGGTTCACTAGTAAAGTGGGGTACCATAAACACCAACGAACCAATACCCATAATAACGGCACCTTTAAGAGAGTTAAAAAGTCAAAAAATGTTTAACTAAATAGTAAACTTAAACTTACCAATACCAATCCATACCGGTATATGACGACGACTACCCAAATAACTGACAAATATTACGGTAATAACATTGCCAATTTCATAACTGGACGCTATAAGACCCGAATAACTAGAGGGTATTTCGAAACGTTTCTCAATGGTTGTTATCACCGAATTAATATAACCCGAACTTAAGGCCTGCTGCAGCATAACCAACATGGACAGCAATAAAACGAATATTTTTATACGGGCAAATTTCTGTATGCCCCCGGGACGACATCCCAATATGCCACAGTCTTGTGAACGCAAATCATCATCGTCGTCATCGTTAAGGCCACATGTAGGGTTATTGCTGGTTGCATTGTGCTGACCACTACCACCACCACCACCATGCAAATTACTATGATTATGCTGTGTATTACCAAGTACAGCCGACGACTGACGACTGTGACACTTGATAACAGTATCAGAGCAGGAGGACGTTTTAGCATGTAAATTGCGGGCATTATTTGCAAGCACTGTGGCATTAGTTGGCGGCATCATTGATGTTGTTGTCGTTGTCGCTGTACTACCAATTGTATTTGTATTTCCTATATGATCTTCAGCTAAATCGATGCTGCTATCATCACCACTATTTGTTTCGGAGTAGAGACCAGTCATCTGATACATTGATTCTTGACGTCTGGAGAGATAAGAAAATGATATTATTGAATATGAGATATTTCGATTGTAATAACAACGCATAGAGATATCTGAAATATATATTTCCAATATTGCTTAATATATGCGAATCGGCTCAGAATCACTTTCTGATACATTTTTGCAAAGTCCATCTGCATTTCGGAATATAAGTAATTCAATAAATTTGTTAAACATGCCATTCAAGGATGTACCCTTTTCAGGTCCATGCTTTATCTAACTTTAGGCCATCAAGATTTGCAAAAAGTTGGAACCCTGAGAGCAAGGTACACTTTTCTAAGCGATTGAGCTAAATCCTTCTTCTTTTTTGGTCAAGATTTCATTGGAAAGAAACACAATAAATATTAATAATAATTGACACTAACATTTTTCGGCCAACCCTCGTACAACATAAATTGGAATCACATAAAATCTAATTGATAGAAAAACAATTTTCTAAATACTCGTAATATTTTTCCTACGCGTTCCACGTAACAACGTCTTCTTACGTTTGTTCTCCTCAAGTCTACTGGACGAGGAAGTAAATCGTTTTTAAATTTATGGCTCTGTTTTCTTTGCTTTTTCACTGCTAAATTTTTTATATGTTTGTAAATGTTTCCTAAAACTAAATAAAATTTAAATGAGGGGACTTTTGAAGCGTTTAAATGCTATTGACAAAGTTACAAAAAAAAAACATATAAACACGAAATATTGAAATTAGAAATGGCATAAACCCAAAATATAATTCTCGTACACTACACTTCTTCACTTTTTCCAATAATCAACACTCTGGGCCAACACTACTACACTTTCGTATTTTCAATACGTACATATGTACTACGTAGACGAGTAGCGGGAGTTGCAAGAGGTTGTTTTATGGTTTTACATGCTCGATGGCATGTTTATCCTGACACGTTTATAATACTGACGGTATGTGGTAGAACTAAATAAAATTATTATTCGTACGACTTTCGATGACCAAAACCAAAAAAAGAGTAGGTACTTGCAAAGTACTAAGTAAAATAAAACATTCTATTGATTTTAGTAGTTGGGTTTACATACAAACTACTACCAACTTTCATACTTTGATATCAAATCAATTATTCAGGGAGTATAAAAAATGCAATACCTATTGTGTGTTTGTCGCATTGTTTGCAGTTTTTCGAGTGATTATATATTCATAAATTTTATCACTTTAAGGTAGAGTGGAGCACTGGCTAACAAAATTTGAAAGAAATTTATGAGAAATAACCTTAAGAATTAATGTATAGGATTTCTGATTTTCAAGTTACCTTGATTTTTAAGATTATTACATTTCATGATTTTATAACATTTTTTCATATTCAGTATCGTTTGAGTACTGAGCAAAGATACATATAAGATCATTATTAAAGGAAACATTAGAGAGAACACCTGAGAAAATCAGTTGTTAAACAAGCGTCTCTAAATCACGAAATAAAACGGACTTGGTCTATAGTCTAGTCTATAGTCTAGTCTATAGTCTAGTCTATAGTCTAGTCTATAGTCTAGTCTATAGTCTAGTCTATAGTCTAGTCTATAGTCTAGTCTATAGTCTAGTCTATAGTCTAGTCTATAGTCTAGTCTATAGTCTAGTCTATAGTCTAGTCTATAGTCTAGTCTATAGTCTAGTCTATAGTCTAGTCTATAGTCTAGTCTATAGTCTAGTCTATAGTCTAGTCTATAGTCTAGTCTATAGTCTAGTCTATAGTCTAGTCTATAGTCTAGTCTATAGTCTAGTCTATAGTCTAGTCTATAGTCTAGTCTATAGTCTAGTCTATAGTCTAGTCTATAGTCTAGTCTATAGTCTAGTCTATAGTCTAGTCTATAGTCTAGTCTATAGTCTAGTCTATAGTCTAGTCTATAGTCTAGTCTATAGTCTAGTCTATAGTCTAGTCTATAGTCTAGTCTATAGTCTAGTCTATAGTCTAGTCTATAGTCTAGTCTATAGTCTAGTCTATAGTCTAGTCTATAGTCTAGTCTATAGTCTAGTCTATAGTCTAGTCTATAGTCTAGTCTATAGTCTAGTCTATAGTCTAGTCTATAGTCTAGTCTATAGTCTAGTCTATAGTCTAGTCTATAGTCTAGTCTATAGTCTAGTCTATAGTCTAGTCTATAGTCTAGTCTATAGTCTAGTCTATAGTCTAGTCTATAGTCTAGTCTATAGTCTAGTCTATAGTCTAGTCTATAGTCTAGTCTATAGTCTAGTCTATAGTCTAGTCTATAGTCTAGTCTATAGTCTAGTCTATAGTCTAGTCTATAGTCTAGTCTATAGTCTAGTCTATAGTCTAGTCTATAGTCTAGTCTATAGTCTAGTCTATAGTCTAGTCTATAGTCTAGTCTATAGTCTAGTCTATAGTCTAGTCTAGTCTAGTCTATAGTCTAGTCTATAGTCTAGTCTATAGTCTAGTCTATAGTCTAGTCTATAGTCTAGTCTATAGTCTAGTCTATAGTCTAGTCTATAGTCTAGTCTATAGTCTAGTCTATAGTCTAGTCTATAGTCTAGTCTATAGTCTAGTCTATAGTCTAGTCTATAGTCTAGTCTATAGTCTAGTCTATAGTCTAGTCTATAGTCTAGTCTATAGTCTAGTCTATAGTCTAGTCTATAGTCTAGTCTATAGTCTAGTCTATAGTCTAGTCTATAGTCTAGTCTATAGTCTAGTCTATAGTCTAGTCTATAGTCTAGTCTATAGTCTAGTCTATAGTCTAGTCTATAGTCTAGTCTATAGTCTAGTCTATAGTCTAGTCTATAGTCTAGTCTATAGTCTAGTCTATAGTCTAGTCTATAGTCTAGTCTATAGTCTAGTCTATAGTCTAGTCTATAGTCTAGTCTATAGTCTAGTCTATAGTCTAGTCTATAGTCTAGTATATAGTCTAGTCTATAGTCTAGTCTATAGTCTAGTCTATAGTCTAGTCTATAGTCTAGTCTATAGTCTAGCCTATAGTCTAGTCTATAGTCTAGTCTATAGTCTAGTCTATAGTCTAGTCTATAGTCTAGTCTATAGTCTAGTCTATAGTCTAGTCTATAGTCTAGTCTATAGTCTAGTCTATAGTCTAGTCTATAGTCTAGTCTATAGTCTAGTCTATAGTCTAGTCTATAGTCTAGTCTATAGTCTAGTCTATAGTCTAGTCTATAGTCTAGTCTATAGTCTAGTCTAGTCTATGGTCTAGTCTATAGTCTAGTCTAGTCTATGGTCTAGTCTATAGTTAATCAGGTCTAGTCTATAGTCTAATCAGGTCTAGTCTAGACTATAGACAACTAGGGCCGCGTTCAGCTAGTTACCTTTAAAGGAAAAATAACATAAATAAATAAATAAATAAATAAATAAATAAATAAATAAATAAATAAAGCTGGCAAAGTATGGATGAGTAGCCTCCTCTAGAATCTGACAAATGTAGTGAACCTTACTTAATACACGTCATTTCTACACATTCATCGTAACTTAATCAGAACACATTGAAACGATGTAATACTATCAATAACGAATATTAATGGACTAAATCCAAAGATATTCTGAAAATTGACAAATTGACTTCTCCATCTACCTATGTATTAGGATTTTGTTATAAATCTTATGGTGTTGGAAATAAAATTGGACATTTTTATAGCCATTTTTTAATTCCTGTTTTCCTGTGTAATTGCGTGCTTTATAAGTGTTTGTAAAATCGTAAGTACTTGTAAACTGACTAATAATCAATAGGCCATAACACGAATGGTTAATAAAATAGAATAAAAGAAATAAAATAGGAAATAGAAAGTAACATACCTGTGACCCTTGCGATGTGTAGTACTATTTGAATTGTTGTGCATGGCACAACATCCGCTATCGTTTGTGGTACAATCCTTTGAACTAACACCTCCAGTTCCGCCATCTAGTGAATGCGTAAAATTGCCACTGGGACGTCTACTGTTGTAGGTGGAAGCTCCAGCTACACTGCCCACATTAACATCCTGTTCAAAAGAGGGATTCACATACTGTTGATCCGTTGAGCAACTACAATGACCGGACTTTTCCGGTTTCTTTCCAGTCATTATTAACTCATTCGCACTTTCACAATACTATTGTTTAAATGTTGCTCGTGTCTCTCTACTATAGCATTTGTTGCTGAAAATGTAGAAAAACAAAAAACAAATAATATTATCAAGATGAGTTTAATTATATGAAAAAAAATACAATTTTTAAATATTGTTATATGTAGTTATACTTTTTTAGATAAAACCAAAACAATAACATGTACAATTACGTTCAAAATTTTGCATGTATCTAATTGTTATTCTATTGCAAAATGTTCTAATATAACATCTGTCGCTTTTCGTTATTGTTGATTTTGTTCTGATTTTATTTTCCACATGTGTCCTATTTTACAAGACAATTTAAATGCGAGTTCACTGTCTGCGATTGTCGACAGATAATACTATTAAATAGCAGGTAATAACAATTAAAACTAATTCTTCTTTTTTTGTTTAAATTTATTGTAATAAAAAAAGCACAGTTATAAAAAAATGCACTAATTAGGGTGTGCCTTTAAAAATTAAAATGACAATTGATATAATAGTCCTACTATACAAGTTTGAGTCAAATTTGTATAACTAAGTTCTTTACTAAGTATTACCTAATTAACCCCTGCTGTCTTCATTGGAATTAAAGAGATCAGGGGACATCCTAACATATTTTTAGTATATTTTTAACGCTTTATATCCTTGGGGCATACTTAATTTCTTTTGTAAAAAGTATAAATAAATAGTATGAAAAATTAACTTATTTTTACGAACTTTAAATGACCAAGACCAATTGTTTTAGAATGTAAATTTAGCGTTAAAATATCTAACAACAAGGCAGAGTTTTGGGGGGTGTGATAGGGAAGATAGGTTGTGAAGTCAGAATCCAATATTAGTAAAATATTACAAAAGAATTATAAGTTTTTTTAGTATTTAGGTTTAAAAATTTCTATAAAATAAGATTAATGTTTAAATTTGAAACATGTTAGTATGCGAACACATACATACATATTTTAACTTTATTTTAGCATATTTAGATAGTTAAGTTTTATTAATGAATAATGTGTATAAATCACGCAAAACTTGCCTAAAAACAGGAATAATTAAATACATTTCCTAATTATAGAGACTTTGAGCGTTGTATACCAACATATATTATGCGAATATTAGAGGGTTTCTTTTTCTTCTGTATACACACATATACACATATGTATATCATTTTGAGGAGTGCGAATTTTATTATTTTGACACTTTATATAGATCTCAAATCCATGCTCATATAAATAAAAGATTGGTTCGGACAGTAAAAAACTTCGGATAACGGTTTTTTGGCATATTTTATTAACATTATGTATGTTCAATAACAAATAATTGTTACAAATTATCATAAATTGTTTTTGTATTTCAATACAAATTTGAAATATTTTTGTGAAAATTAGTAACAATTAGTAACAACTTTTAGTTATTGAACAGACCCATTATTTAAAGTACTATTTCAGCTCTTTACCGTTACCGCTAAAAGCCAGTTTACATTATACCACAAGTAATATGATCTGTCAAAATATTATGTAGAAGAGAACTGATGGAATCGTCTAAACGCAATATATTTTTTTTTTTCAATTTATTTATTCTTTATTGAATCTTTCTTATATATAAATTTATATTTATTAAAATTTTAATCTAAACTATAACTAACGTTATTATTGCCGCTGCAATTTCAACAAAAGTCCTCAATAATTTGATTATCTCGCAAAATCCAATGTTTCCGTTCTTCTCAGTCGTCTATGACCCTCAAATGACAGCAACTCCCTGGCAAGGGGATTTGGGTTATCCATTAGTTTCGACAGGTAGGTTAAACAAGAGAATTTGAACTCCTCGCGTATTATGGGGACATTGAGATTCCTATTAATATTACTATTACGAATGTACCACGGGGCACCTGTTATTGACCTTAACAGTGCTGTAATTTTTCAATATTAGATGAGGAGGATGTTCCCCACAGTTGAATACCGTATAGCCAAGTCTAGTGCTGACAATTAGCCAGTACATTTGAGCTGACTTTAATTTTATTTGTGTAACCTTGGCTTCAATGTGGTAAGTCCATGTTAAGCGGCGATCAAGGTGGATACCAAGATATCTTACATGGTTTTGTTTAGGAATTGTTATATTGTTTATCTTTACGGAAGGACAATTTCCCGTCTTAAAGTAAATGTAACGTGTATACATTTTGTTGCATTGACTTTTATTTTCCATTTGTCCAGCCACTTTTCCAATTTGCCGATGTGAAACTGGAGTTGTTCAGAAGCTATTGAAGGGTTATCATGTATGCTGACAAAAACGGTATCATGCGCAAATGTAGATGTGTGAGTCAGTGCGCTCGGTGGCATATCTGCAGTATATAAAATATATAGTAATGGACCTGGGGTACTTCAGCAAATATTTTTCGACGTGAAGAGGTCACATCTTTAGATCTGATTTGAGAAGATATTTCATATATGTAATTTTAAAGCAATTTGTGAACATTCGCAGGTAGTAATGTGATAATTTTGTGTATTAGTCCATCGTGCCAGACTTTAGAGTAGTTATTCGATGTACCAGTTCGATTGTGCTGTGCTTTCTTCTGAAACCAAACTGATGGTCAGGAATAATGCAATTATCGTTAAGGTGTAATATAAGGCTTTCAAGCAATAACTTTTCAATGAGTTTTGAGAAAATAGACAACAGGCTAATGGGACAGAATGATGTCACTTGAGTGACATCTTTCCCCGGTTTTGGTATCATAACAATTTCGGATACTTTCCATGAGGTAGGAAAATATCCAATACGTAGCATCGAGTTGAAGATGAACAAAATAATTCTCAGTGCTGAATTAGACAGGTTACAGGTTATCATAGTGATAGTAATTTTATCTATACCAGGTGATTTTCCTGCCTTTAGAAATTTGATTGTCGTCTTCACGGTAGAGAATCGGAATTTTATTGAGCGTGGAACCACATTATTTATAATGTTAGCACTAATAGAAGAATCTGTATCATTTTCAGTAAACACATGGCGTATGGGTGACTCAAATGCAATTAGCACTAATAGAAGAATCTGTATCATTTTCAGTAAACACATGGCGTATGGGTGACTCAAATGCAATAGGGCATTGCTGGAATATTTGACAAGCAGGTCGCATTAGATCACGACCTCCTCTATTGGACACATACCTGGATACATAATTTTCATCTCTTTGTGACACCTGGAAGAACTTTGACCATAAGATCGAATTTAATTATTCCTGATGTCCATTTCAGATGTTTTGCTTCACAACTTAGATCGCGGTATTTAAAATTAAGCAGACAATCTGAGTCAGTCATATTTCTTATACATGGTAAGATTACACTGGAAATTCGTCTTTAAGTTTATCCAAATGTCATAATTCTCTCCTTTCTGTGGTCCTATACCTCTACTTCTAACAAATTTTACAGTTCATTAAGCAGTCCTGTAAAAAGATAACTTAATCTTAAAGGATAGCCATTAAGAGCCATGTGTGTTAATACCTAAAATAATAGACCGATTTAACCATTTCTCTGGGGCAATAGAAGATCATGTACCAAATTTCATTGAGAAATGCTCGACAATAAAGTACCAGATTTGATGTCGTTTAAATACCTTTAAAGTGATATCTACACAGAGGGAAAAAGAAATATACACGCCTGTTACCAAATTGACACCGAACTGTTTATAATTTTTCAATAACACCCGTCGTCAAAGTATATACATACGTAATTCAACACTATGTAATGTTGACAACATTGCAATAATTCGTTGTCGAAATCTAAATTTTATACACATCCGTTGTCTAAATATTAACAAACGTGGTAAGCTCACTATACCTGGATACAATAGTGATCTTACCACGTTTGTTAACATTTAGATAACGGATGTGTATAAAATTTAGATTTCGACAACGAATTGTTGCAATGTTGACAACGTTGCGTTGTTTTCCCTCTGTGTAATCTTGTATTTTATTCAAAGTAGGTACTATTCGATCCTACTCTGTATTCAGTTTTAAACTAGTGTAACAAGTGAAATTTAGTTTAATAAACACAAAATATAATATCTGTAAAAAAAAATATAAATACAACCCTAATACACATACGAACATATGAAAAAACAACAAGAATTTTAATAATTAATAAAAATTAAAGTTATATTTTCTATCTTTAAATAATTATTTTGATTTTGAATAAGAAAACACAACAAAGATGCAATATTAAAGTTTAAAATCTGCTGAAGTTACTAACATTTTAAATTACTTTCAATAATTGATTCTAAAAACCTCTTAAAATTCACTCTGATTTTATCCGATAAACATTTTTGTTGAATGTTTTTGGTATTAAACATCGTATGACTTTGTCGTTATGTGTTTCTTATGCTTTTAAACTTTAAATTTATGTATTTAGTGTCGTTTAGAATAAAATTGCGTTTCGAATTTAAATCATCTAATAATGATGTTGTCTTATGTTGTTGACGCAAAAAAACACCAAAAACTGAACTAATATTATGAAATTATGGCAAAAACTTTAAAGTTACAAAATTGGGAATTTCAAGATTAAATTACAAATTAATTTACGTTAAATGGCGAAATAGTGTATTTGTTTAAAACTAATGGTATTGAATATAAATATAACTGTATAAGTTGTGGTTTGTATTGTATACAAAACATTTTGAATAATTGTGTAAGAAACCCGGATTTGGTATTCTTACTTTTATTTATATTTTTCTGCTTGTGCTGTCTGATAACAGAAATATTCTTTAAAATATTAATATATTTTAATTTGTGCATGTTTACTGTTATACTTCATATACTCTTCTTGGCCTAAAGTAATAATACTATTTATAACAGCTTTTTAATTTCTTATTTCTAATAAAATACTATAATTAAATAGTGTATAACCACACTATAAGTATCTTTCTTTACATTTAATATATTAATTAGAGCGTATGAGACATGCGGTAAAATTATTTTCTTTTCATAATTTTCAAGCACCTTCATTTCATTCATTCACTCATTCCTACAACTGAAGTAGTAGAAAGAAAACAACACACCTTCCTGCAAAC